TCTAGATGTAGGCGCCTTGGATAGGACTTTCCCTGATACCTTCTCAGTAGGAGTAAGAGGAACACCAACAGCTGTTGCTGGATCTACACTGAATTCTGATGATGTCTCTGAGCTCACATCAATGTCACCACTGTGGAGTGTTGGTGTAACGGGCACCTCTACAGGCAGGTGTATAGGCAGGTGAGAGGAGTTAACCTCAACTGCTTCCTCCTGTACAGGAGTAGTGGCCTCAGCACTGATCATAGTGGGGGTAACAGGAACACCGTTACTAAGTCGACGGGATTCGAAGTCCTCCACAGAATGTCTGGGGACCATTCCTGAGGAGGTCTCATCTATTACCGTAAATTGAGTACCTTCTTCCCGAGTAGGTTGCTGGTCCAAAGCCATCTCCTTCTCCTCCTCAAGTGCCTCGTCTAGCTTTGGTATGTCTACCTCCGAGAAGGAGGATAGTCGTACCTCCTCCGTACCACGTGGAGTTACTTCAATTTCCGCAACCTCTACCATCTTGGTCTCTTCAGTAGATGGGGTCTCCACTTCTTGTGTGACCTCATCTTGACGACAGTACACCTTCTTTTGAATACCATCAAACTTCTCTTCCTGTACACGTTGGAGTCCGCCGCCGCTACCAGTCTGCTCACCCAATTCAGCAGCAACCTCAATGATAACATCATCAACCGTCGAAGGGGACGAAGATGGCTTCCCAACAATTACATCTCCTTCTGACTCCACCTCATCGCCTTCTACTATTGGTGTTTTAGAGGCCTCTACTGTTGCTGCTGGTGCTGTTGGTGTAGTAGTGGCCTCTACTGCTGCTGGTGTCGTTGGTGTAGTAGTGGCCTCTACTGCTGCTGGCGTTGGTGTAGTAGTAGCCTCTACTGCTGGTGTTGGTGTAGTAGTAGCCTCTACTGCTGCAGTTGGTGTAGTAGTGGCCTCTGCTGCTGCTGCTGTTGGTGTAGTAGTAGCCTCTACTGCTGGTGTTGGTGTAGTAGTAGCCTCTACTGCTGCAGTTGGTGTAGTAGTGGCCTCTACTGCTGCTGCTGTTGGTGTAGTAGTAGCCTCTACTGCTGGTGCTGTTGGTGTAGTAGTTGCCTCTACTGCTGCTGGTGTTGGTGTAGTAGTGGCCTCTACTGCTGGTGTTGTTGGTGTAGTAGTAGCCTCTACCGCCGGTGCTGTTGGTGTAGTAGTTGCCTCTACTGCTGCTGGTGTTGGTGTAGTAGTAGCCCCTACTGCTGCTGGTGTTGGTGTAGTAGTAGCCTCTACTGCTGCTGGTGTTGGTGTAGTAGTAGCCTCTACTGCTGCTGGTGTTGGTGTAGTAGTAGCCCCTACTGCTGCTGGTGTTGGTGTAGTAGTTGCCTCTACTGCTGCTGGTGTTGGTGTAGTAGTAGCCTCTACTGCTGCTGGTGTTGGTGTAGTAGTTGCCTCTACTGCTGGTGCTGTTGGTGTAGTAGTAGCCTCTACCGCCGGTGGCGTCGTAGACTTCTTCTTGCCATGCCTATTATCTGATGAGGCCCAGTTGTAGTAAAGTATACCTATATTCATCATCATCCTACGTCTCTTCCTCTTGTTCTTCCCTCCAGCACTACCCTCTACTGAGCTCTTCTCCTCAACCTCCTTACTACCGACACTATTGGCTTTTCGTTCGTCCAACTTCCTCTGTAATCGAGCCCGAGCCGTCGATGGAGAAGCCTTGGTGTCGACGACCGTCGGGGCCGCCTCATCGACCTGTGGTGGGGTGACCTAAACCAACAATAGAGAATGCTGCTACTGCTGCTACTACCAAGTCGGGGTTATTAAGGGTCTCTCTAGCCTCCTTAAGGTAGTCCTCGTTGATTATACCCGTTTGCAGCATTCTAAGTCTCAACTCCATAACAGCTCGATCCATCTCTCGATCCTCTAATCTCTTCTCCTCTTGTTGAGCTGCTAATAAGAACCCCGCTTGGGTTACTTCAGTACCATACTTCTGCTCTAAGGCGTTCACCTGATGCGACAGAGTCTACATTCCATAATCGAAGCGGAAGACCGCTACTACTACCTTCACGTTGATGGCGAGCATCTTCAACATCTCCTTATTGGATTCCTGTGTTTTCTCATCCTTCGCCTCAGGGATCTACAAATGATGAAATTGACACACGCAGGACTCGAACCCGAAAACCCCTGGGCCGGCAAAGAAAGCGGTACCCTTCGGGTAATCATTACCTGAAATTCATCGTCTCCTTCCTTAGCAGCAGTCTTCAGAATCTCACAAAACTCTCGAACATACTTCAGCATCTGAAGGGGGAGGGGCGTGCACTACAATCATAATAATGACACATGCCGGAATCGAACCCGGGATTGCCCATGCACTTGTTACTATATCTCGATCAGACAAGCCTTTGAGTTCATCCAACTCAGGAGCCTCGATCCATTGATCATCCTTCTTGTCAAGCTTCTCACCCTTATTAATCTGAACCCACTCTATTGTTACTGCCAGCACTCCTCCTACATAATATTACCCGATCCATCCTTACAAAGCCAGGACCAGTGAAGGACTTAGGGAGATCACTTGTTAGATATGGACAGCACATGTCCAATGTATCCTCATCAGGGAACCGCACGATATAACTGAAGAAGATAACACCAGCCCGTCACGCGCCACGAAATTCCCGTTAGTTAACGCTACGAGACTGCATTAGAGTTGTCATCCTTCCTCATTGGATGATCAGGCGCTAAGTCAATATGAAGTACCATGGGGTCAGCCAGTGTGTCAAGCTTATAGGCAGCATCTTGAGCCTTACCCATCACAGCAATACGCATATCACCACTATCGTAAAACTCCATTATCTGAGATAGGAAAGGTCTGGGAATCGAACCCGCTCGAGTCCTCTCATTACCTGCTGATATCCACCAAGTTTTTCTGTTACTTTACCCTTCCACCTTCCTAAGAGAAGCTGCCTCTTCAAATTGTCTCGACAAGATGCCAAGGCCTCTGTCAAGAGCCCCTCAGGATCCTAACAGAGCAAATCCTAAGAAACATTGCCCTGCATCTTGTGATTACCTCACAAGACCCTTCACATGCCTCAATCTCTGCGACAGCGTCTTGGAACCTAACATTATTGCTTCTAGTAGGGCATGCCACAGAGCGATGCCTGGCATTACCTGTGAAGTCCCTCCAAAGCCTTCGCTACTCGAAAGTGTGCCTTGGCCCACTGAGGGCTCAGCTTAACGCACTGCTGTGCATCCGATAAGGCCTCCTCGTACTTATCAGCCAGAGCATAAGCTGCCGAACGGTTTGACCTAAGCATCCCATGAAAAGGGAAGGATCATCATCATTAGCAGGTCAAGAGTGCGGTCACTATTGGATGAGAAGGATCATTGATATTACCAAGCTATGCTATCCTCAGGTTTGAGTTCAATAGCATTAGAATAGCTCTCAGCAGCCTCCTGTATAGCACCACGTTCCTAAATGGGATAGCTGATGACCATTACTACTACTACGAGGAAGGGGCAGAAGAGGTCCTACGAGCTGTTCATTGCCGAGCTTCCTCCATCCCTCTGAGGTTGTGGGTGTTTCGTTAGATGGTGTTGAAGTCATTTATTCCTACAACTGAAATCAGATACACTAGTTGGTGGTCATCATTGCTGCTGTCAGAGAAAATACAATAGAATCGTCGTTGGTATGAATTGAACCTGGGATCACTTCCCTTATCATTAGTGGCATGCTCTGCTAGAGATATCTTGGTGTGCTGCCTTAGCTAGATCGTTCCAATCCTATACTGCTCCATGGAGTACTTCCGGAATCCCAGACAGGGATGTCGGCGTTCAGTTGTTGGTTTGCTATTCGAGATGGGTCACCTTGGGATGGAGGGAGCCGTAGCAGAGCTTTCGGTATAGGACATTTGGACCAACGAGCTCTCGACGAGGTCATTGAAGAATTTGGAATCAATCATCTGGTGACCTCAAATGCCCATACGGATGGCACCACGCAATCCCCCACCGCTAACAACAATGGCTCCGAACAATTTACCTGTCCAATCTTTGGCAAGTGGCTCGTATTCTGAGTGAGCACATATTGAGGATAACCAGCATCAGTCCTAATAACGATCCAACATAGGTTGATCCTGATGACTCCGCCGACCCCAAGAATATATGTATACGGATTGTTGGACCATATTTTCATCCAGCGATGAGTATAGGTATTCCTGGACTATAATCCCATGATAGAAGTAGCAGCTCAACATCCATTCACCGCATACGACACGTGTTGCCCTTCAACATCTTCTGTATGCAACGAATGATCTATTTGTGTGACCATGTTCGCGAATACGATTACTACTATCATACTATTATCAATACTATTATCGTAAGTCTACCCACGCACTTTACAATGACGCGTAGTCAGGTGTTCCGGCGATTGGGCTCTGCTTAGAGCGGAGTAGAAGAACGAACCTCTCATAGGGGTCATACATCTCGTAGTAGCAGTAGTGCTTGTGATGATTCCTGTATTGAATAATAATACAGCAGATGTGAAATGATAGAGGATCCTCCTACGCTCTCTCAGGGAGCCAACTTTGGCGAAGAGGAGGTATGGAGTATGTGAATCTGTGTAAGGTGGGAGCATGCTAACAACTTGTAGTTAATGAGTTCATATCAATGGCCGACTTCACTCGTTTAGCATCTGCCATAGCAAGCCTGTCGAGAGTCTGTAAGATGAGGACCTTCTGTGATGAATCAGGAAAGGAGAGTTCAGTTGATGATAACTTGAAACACATCGCAGCCGAATTACAATCAGAAAGCGAGTGGTTGTCCGATAAGGCTTCTGAGCTTAGCCGCCAGGCTTGGGAAATGTCAGGAGGCCAGGCAGGAGGGAGTTTTGAAGATAAGCGATGTAGGATATCTCAAAGTGCTGCTCACCCCAACGATACGGCCTCTGGAACAGTCGATCAAGCGTTACGAGCAGCCGAATCAGCGAGACGGGCTGCTGAGGCTGCGCGCCTTGCTGCTGGATCAGTAAAAGCGGCTGCCAGAAGTCAGTGGGAGGGAGTCGGCGCTACCGCTCGTGCTGTTGTTGAGAGTGCTCGACACAAGGCTGCTCGAGCTAAGGTATTGTTGAGCTTCGATTGTCTCCTCCCCTCTCATCATTTCCTTGTATAGGAACGTCAAAGAGAAGCTCAGGTGAATATCGATATGGTCCAAAGAGTATGGCGGAGGATTGCTGATTGTGGTAGGCTAGCAGCCACTTCACATGGTTCAGATAAGCCAAGACCACCACAAGAGGTTATGGCCGATTTTCTCGATATGTGTCGTTCACGACCGTTAGACATGCCCAACTGGGACTCTAATAAATTCGGCCGTAAAGTGGTGGACATCGACGTCGCTGCAGCTATGAGCTCTCTTGCTTATGCTGAGGCTGCTTATGATACTATCAATACTGGGGAGATGACTCGGGATGAGTTCGAGGAGGAGCAACTAGCGGAAAATGAGAGACCGCCAAGTTCTATCTTCATAATGTGTCCTGATCTTACTAAGATATTTTATATGTCACCTGAGGGGAAGTTCGAAGTTACAGATCCTTTGAAGCCTCGTTTTATCGTTGCCCTTCGTAATGATGGTACAGTTGTTCTCGCCATACGTGGTACTGCTACACTGGCTGATGCTATCACTGATATGCTCTGTGATGATGTTAATGTAGTACATAGTAATGATCATGATACTGGATCGAATAGTCTTCGTGTCCACAGAGGCATAAACGCTGGCGCCGTGTGGGTGGTCCAGAATGCTATGCCGTACATTAGAAAGGCTCTATCTTCTGGAGCAAGCAATGGACGTCTCCTTATCACTGGTCACTCCCTAGGTGGTGGTGTTGCACTAGTGGCAGGCATATTAATAGCACCAGAGTTGAGTCCTCGAGTATGGGTAGAGTCGATAGCCTTTGGTCCCCCTCCTGTTCTATCTGATACTCTACAAAGCCGTGGATGGCGACGATCTGGCTCCTTACCATGGAATCTAAGCTTGAAGTCTTATGTCAATGATGGGGATGTTATCAGTCGAACTTGTATGTATTCTTTAGAATATCTATTTGGTGGCTGGGGTGAGTCCACAAGCCATCTATTAGCTGATTATGAGTGGTCAACTCCTTTGGTTATACCCGGTAAGGTGTATGTGATCGGTACAGATCCCTCACATCCTGGTAAGGCTATCCTCACCAATGGTATGGATCCTACACTTGGGGAGTCCTCTCTGGTTGACTTCTTCTGTGAGATTGCTCGAGCTGATCGTCCGATGATCCCCAAGGCTGGATATGCTCATTTGATCGATAGCTATAAGACAGCTTTATTAGGGGAAGTAAGTTGAGTCCGTTGAGACTACTTGTTTCACTTTCCGAAGTTTTCGAACTATTGCTGAGTTCATCTTGGAGTTGAGTTGAAGTCATGTGTTCCACCTCGTACATGCAGTGAAACTCATCATGACGTAATTATGTCATTGGATAATCCAATTTGTTTTAGCCAGTTCGATCAGTAAAAGGTCCAACGAGACCACAGGCCGGGACGATATTTCGCTCTTGTTGATACTGCTTTCGTGGTCGATTTATTCCTCGATGAGCATCATGCGGGTTTATTGATTCCGTGACATGTTCATTCCCGTGGTTGTATGACGAGAACCATTGATCAGTGCAATTCTACTGTTTCCGCTGTGTGTGCCGAATACAAGGCAAGGATTCCCCCAGCTGTGGTGGAAACCAATGGCACCTACGCCTGTGTTCCACCCCAGTTCGGGTTCCTCTACAGCAATTTCGATATCGTCGTACGTGGTGCCTCAATGTGAGGTGGACCTCAACCACCGGCTGAGGGCCATTGCTCTCATTCATTCAGCCGGAGTTTTGCACGGTACATTATGTATCGCGGCAATGAGGCGAGAGACAGCCTGCCAATCGTCATGATTCATGACGATTTGCTCCGCCATTCAAAGAGTTCATGACTCATGAACTCCTTGAATGGCGGATCAATTAGAGGATGAAGGTATCATCAATGACTACGATGTGTTCTTGTGGACCCAACACTTGATCCGCCAGTTGAACTCCATTATCAACCCGTTGTACCGGCGTAACGCAATAATAACATATTTGTATCGCATCAGCAGAGGCAGAATCATGGGAGTGCTTCGATACACATGATTTCAAGAAAGTGGCGAAGGAGGTTCTTGCCGTCCATGAGCGACGAGCTCTTGAAGATCACCCTGTATCAAACGTATCTTACCTCTCACCTAGCAAGACAGGAAGTAACCAACTTATAAAAATCGCAATAGAAACTTCAGTCCGCGTTTAGATACCAGAAATGTACGAATCCGAATTCATTCCTCAAGTAGGTTCTGAATACTTACGTGCTCTACTGATCAAGAAATGGAATCCTATACAATATCGACTATGCTAAGCATAGAGCTCTGTACGACTTACCAATCCTTCAGTATCAACACATGCTGATTGACCATCCTCTATGAAGTCAGTGACATCTTGTAGTAAGCCCAGGAGCAACTAGAACAACGAGTAAGGCAAGGCAAAACCGACAATATCTTCTCGAGCTTCTGTTCGCTGTCACAAAGCAGCTGCGGAGAAATCGTCACCCTGGTACATTATATGAATATATAAGGCCATGATAGAGTCAATACCCTTGAGTTTTGGGTACCTCGCTATCATGTCGCTGACTGTAGTTACATGTACCCCTTCCGATAGAGACATGTTCCCGCTATCCCAACAGGAATGGATCATCCACACTAGTGCTTACCTGCCGTTTGTGTTCTTCCAATCGAAGATCGCCTTCGAGTTGGCCCTTGATCCTTTCCTCCTGTACGAGTTTGGAGTACTCTGTGGAGCGTATCTTTCGTTCTTCAAGCTAAGATAATCAAACACAACAATCCTCGAAGATCCTTTAACATACCAGTTCAGTCGACGCTTTAGCGAGGAGATCGCCACTTTCTCACATGCTCTTTTCCGTTCAGCACACATCTCGAGATATCCTATATGCCCTACAAACAGAGTTTCTCGAGGTCGGCAGCTTCCTCCTACTTTCCTTATCCTCTAAAAATGCTGTTTCATCTCCCTTCTGTTTGGCTCTAGTCTGGCTATATATTTCTTCCAAAGATTCCATTTCGGCCCTCAAAGCGAGGCGAGCGGCTATTAGGTCTAACTGACCAACTACACTTATCCCGTCATTATGTTCGATATTGCTCTACGTTTTCCTCGAAGTAGCTTCCAAGTGTCCGTAGCTCTCGATTCACCATACGTTCATGCATACCTTGTCCCGTCAGTGTATGACCAGGGGATGTCATTTCTTACAAAGGCTCCGCTTGAGATCCTCCCTCAAGGACGTGAACATGATATTTGTCTTGTCTACCTCACTTGCGAGCCACTCTAGAGTCCGCTTGGCGACAGTGTACCTATGCTGTGCATATCGAGCCGCGTGGGAGTATCGCAGCTTACAGCTTGCCTCTCTCCTCGATGACCTCCTGTCGCGTCGGGGCCGGCTCAGAACGAGCTGGGAAAATACAGGGGAAAGCTATTGCTGAATTACCGGTCTGGTGGTCCATCCCTCTAGGCGGATTGATAAGTGTTGCTTACTCCCTCGGGACGTTCTTGGATCCCAAGTGGCTGTACGCTCACAAACTAAGTGCTCCATCGGATGTCCCCAAAATGGATCTCCTTTACCTGACAATGTTGTGTATATCTTCTGTTTATCGATGGAACTGAATTGCGATGTGTTATACTCATATGAGGGAGCGTCTCGAAGGGGGCACGCGACCGATTCCTTGTTAGGTAAAAGGTATACACACGGAGTTTTCTACGAGGCTAAATAACAGTGCAGTGTTGAAACTCAAACACTCCCCCTCAGTGAGAGGCTCTTCCGCGGTACACACTCCTCACCTAAGGAGTTGGAGACCTCTCGTATGGTTCGATACAGTAGGTGGATTGAGGAGGATTGCCCTTCTGGCATCCCCACGTCTAGTGGTGAGGACACACATGCCTTATTGGATACCTCCTTATCCTCCTCCTCTACTAAACTCATCATCTACATACATATAGTAGATGTCTCAAGGGAAGGCTTCCATTCCTCGACGTCCTCACCAGAGAAGAGAGCTGTTCAGCATTCAGTGTCACGGCATTATCGTCTCCTGCTTTGTGCGGCAATAGATATCTGTTATGTGAGCAATATATAACTGATGACAGGGGTGTGAGCATACTCCTCAATCCAACGCTGAGGTAGAGAATATCCCATAGACCTCAGCAGATGCCCGACTAAATCCCCGTTAACACGATTCATGCCGTCCTCTGCAAACATATCTGAAGGAAATATATACATATTCAATATCCAAAATTCAGCTTAGAACTTTCAGACCGCCTAATCGTTTATATCATGATTCAAATCTCCCACGAGTATGCAAGTACTCACTGAACAGCTCTTCCAGCCTAGATGCCCCATCAGTGTCCCTCATAGAATGCTTGCTGAAGGTCATTGTAGATTCCATAGCTGAGCATAACAGCTCAGTAGGATAGGATTTGTTGGAGAATCTGACGTCGAGTGTGTTCGAATCTGTATCATCACGCTCGTTCATTTTAACAAGACTAACGTTAATGCAAACTGGAGCGATGGTGACGTCAAATGAGTTACGGGAAGTGTGGTATTTATTCCAGATAATTTTGCATTGAGCAACTGACCTCTGAAAGGAAATCAGATCTCGCGAATCGTCATTGTGACTACAAGTCTACCCCTCTCCTTTACTATCCTCCATCCCATTCGTTTGTACTTACTCGGTCGTATTTACGCTATAAGGTAATAACCCTCACGGAGCGAATCTCGTCCTTGGTCACACATCGAACACAACACTGATAAGAGTAGAAATATTAATGATAAAGCGGCGCCTTGTGAGTAAAGATCGATCAGTTATTGTTGTTGTTGTCGTCAAAGAAAAGGGAGTACATTAGGGTTCTTAACGAAACGTTGGGTACCAACCTCGTCATCATCCTCGAACCTGAAATGAATCTTACCAAGGTGAACCTATAGATACCTTCCTACCAGTAACAGGCGATTTATCATTCCTCGCCAGCCATCTATGTATCGCACCTCTCTCATAGGTATGCCCATCACATGCCACTGCAGGGCATCTCAGTGGAGCTCGAGTAATAGGGCACATAAAGGTGTCGGGGTCCAACCTATGTTCATATAACACACACTGATCAAAACAATTACGAGTACAATTGACATAGAGAGATACAAAAAGGAATTCACCCCCACCATCAATTGCGAATAGGTCTCTATTAGAAACAACGGCAGAATAGGATTGCCCAACTAATGCATGAGCCCTGGAAATTTACAAACATTATTGCAGAGCTTACATAGGAATTCTGGTCATTCCGGATTTTTATCATCCTGAAAAATTTCGAAGCGTAGAGCTGACTGAATGGATATAGTTGTAAAATACAGGAGTCTACTTGCGACGTCTCCCTAACGATATGATATATGAACAAAATCATTCTTCCGAAAGCCGAATACCGAGCCTGGGATCCGAACCGAGGACCTATCCCAGCAAGTAATGATATATCCTCCTACCCTCGATCTTCACATAATCTCTTCATCCTATCCTCAGTTATCTCTGGTAACATCGGTGGCCACTCCACTATTATTGCTGTTGTCGTGGTGGTGGTCGGTGGTGATGGTGATGGTGGATACCGACTCGGCGGTAAAGGATGAGGGCCTATCCTTTGGAACCCTTCTCTACTGATCTCAATATGGATGGCAGGGGCAGGGGCACGCCAACCCTCTTGGAGTTGCCGTGGTGAGTCGTCCAAAGATGAATCGTCCGAAAATGAATCGTCGTACTCGCTACTGTCATCCGAGATCTGCTCCGAGATCGCTGTGAGAGATCTTGCCAATCTTGTTCCGCCTTACATTTCCTCCACTCTCGTAACCCCACTGTTGTCGTTGTGGCATATCAGGACTAGAATCTCTAATTGAAGGCGACCTAACAGGACTTCCATACCACACCAACGACACTTCACTACCTACCTTTCATGCATCCTCCCGTTTCTAGGCTGAGGATTCCATCCTCTATCGCTTTCTCTATGTGGAGAATCCCCTGAGAGGACACGTTAACACTGAGCGCGGATGGGACGTTTTACCCCGAGCAACAACAGCTGCCAATCTCCATAACTCTGGACTGAACTCTCTAATATGATGGACTTGAGGGCTTGGTGGAGAATACTAAAGAGTAGGAGAGTACTGCCAAGCACTACTACATAACTCAGCCACTACGATCCTCCTGCGCTGCCTCGGTGGCGATGGGCTCCTATCGTCGTCCTCTTCCTCTTCCTCGTCCTCTTGTACAGACTCATCAGTCGTATCTTCTGTGTAGGAAGGGCGGCACCACCATCGTGATGGTGAGGGAGGGGACGCTGAGACAAACTATCAAATACATACCTGGCTTTACTATCAAAAAATAGTGTATGTGATGGCCAATATTGAATTTTCCAAGGACTTCCCGCAGGTTTAGTGAAAATCAGGTTCACGAGGAATGTATCGAATTAAAGCTGGGAGAGCACCACCATGATCGCGATGAGCAGCAGGGTTGGGGTATCCCACCTCGACTCCACTGCGGATTATTATTCCAACCAGACGAATACCACCCACGAGGAGAGCCCCACCGCTCCTCTACACCTAACATGCAACCAAACGTTACTGCGCCACAAAACTCATAGTCACCGATGAGCTCCAAAATACACCTCAGCTATTACCATAGTCACTATCATCGTCGTCGCTACTAGACGGCACCGATTGTGGACGTCCCGGCGGCGGCGATGGCGGCGGCGGCATCATCATCCTCCCCCTCATCCAACGCTCAGGAGGTATAGCCCGACGAGGGGGCCGCAACATTACCTATCAGATAACCCAGGTTCGATTCACTCGACAACCAACTGCTGACTATATCAGCTCATGGACTACTCGATGAGATCCTCATCGAAAGGTCCCCGGATCGATTCCCACACCCTACATTTCTATTATCATCATCCTCCTCTTCATCATCAGTCTCCTCTTCCTCCTCCCATTCTTCCCAAGATTCATCATCAGAGCTCATCGAGGCCTCCCATGTAGCCTCCCATCGATGGTTAACATCCGAATACACCGCTCCCCAACTCATGCAAGCAATCTACAATTGTTCAAATCAATTACCAGGGCGAGCGCTACTCACACTTTACCATTGAACAGCTAATACAACCCAACCTCGCGAGCATACCCGAAACACATATGAATGAATTCAGAAACGATAAGATTTACGTGTTGCATGTATCAACCTAAGATGCTCTTTCTGATCCCATCAAGCTTCCTCATCTTGATGATGATGATAATCCTCCATCAAATCTGCTGTCAACTCCGATAAGACAGCCGCTGACGATCTCGGATCACCCTCCACCATCAACGGAGACAACCTGAAATCTTGCAATCTTACTCAATCTTGCATTTCCTCAACGATTCACTTGTGAACTCCTTCAGCATTCCGTATCAACCCCGTTGATGAATATACTCCTTCATCACAACAATCCGAATCCGATGACCACCAGTCATCCTCAGGCACTGCAGCTTGCACATCCGCTGAAGAGTGAGTCCTTGCAATCATACCACCACTTGTATTTCCTCAACGCACCTGTATTGAAGCTTACGACTGTGCCTTTCGCTGCTTCCCGTCGGCTAAGCTCATCTTTTTCTTTTATCCGTTTATATACTTTCCTACCCAAACTGTATAAATACAACAACTTGTCATCGAGTGACTTTAACTCTCGCCATTCATAATAGGGTATCACCATTACCACATACCTGCGAGGATCATCACAAACCGGACCTACTCTGCATCTAACCATAATCAACCTCAGTCCTACCCTTGGAGCTCCAACAACCGCTGATGAAGTTTCGACACCGATGTCCTTCTCGTACTATCCGCGTAAAACCTATCTATCAACATATCTAGCCCAATCTAGCATTTCCTCAACGCTAAATTACGCGTAAGGCCCCAAACACTCCACGACCACTTCCTGTCTGTTGGCTTTATGTTTACCGACTCGCCCAGATGTGTTATCGATTTCCGCAGGCTCAACCCCTCTAGGATCGGCAAGCATCAAAATATCCATACACTCGTTGTCCACCAACGACCGACTCTTTACTCGGACCTTCATATGATCCTTCAACAGCCAGTAACTGATCACAGTCACCGTCACTGCGCCACAAAACTATCCCGGAAAGATTTCACTCAAATGAATTATCAGCTTTATGAACCACGCCGCGAAATAGAATTACATTTCGTTCGCCCATCTTGGTCGTATCCGTTTAGTCGGTGCTTTCGTGTTTGCCATTGCCGCTTCGAAAAAAACCCGAATAGATTCCCCAAATTCAGAATCGTTGAACCTGAGGATGAGATAGATAAATCTTGCATCCACTTGCTCTCTTACATTCCCTCAACGGCACTGGATTTGCAATACTTCATAATTTGGCATGCGTTTTTGAAAACTCGTAGTTGAGCAAGTTGTCCGGCAGGAACTTGATTACCACCAACTAAATACACCAAAATGCCCTCCACCCGGGATCGAACCCGCGACCTTCGCCATACAAAACAACAACCGACTTCAATACGAGGAGAGCAACCCCCCTACTAGAAATGAATTTCCAGGAACGAGCTACTCCAATATTGATACTCTTCTATACCAATTATTTGTCATTTCCCATACCACTCCTCACCTTCCTTAGCGATCAGCCTCCTAGCCATAGATCCCATAGGGGAGGTGCTCGCTAGTGCGAAGAGATCCCGAAGGAGGGCCGTGGGTGGAAGCTCATCAGCCAGGGATATTAGACTGACAATAGACAGAACACACCCAGTCAACGACTCTCATATTCCCATCGAGAATTGAGTACGAATAATAAATGGTAATTTATCAGCAATCATTTAATACAACTATGATTCCCGTGTAGAAGAATCTATCAGCTTCACCACATCTAACTTGTGATTTCGCGTATCCCGATTCTACTACCTCTGAGCCAACAACGACAACGACTGCATATCGAACGTATCATTATCCCTTCCTTTCGTGCGATCTGCCACTGAGTTACGAAAGGTGTGGTATCATAATTAGCACGCATGCACACACCGTTATCCATCTGCAATGCTGTCTTCAATCGAGCTGCTACCGCTTGCTCAGCATATAGACGCATTTTCCGAGACCTCCAGTCCAATCGGGCCAAGGCATTCAGGCTCACTGCTAGAGTCTGCAACGAATTCAGTTAATGATGGTATGATAAAACATAGAAATACAACAGCACGTATATAATCAACGCTGTAACATGAACACGGCAGCAGCAGCAGCATTTCTAAGAAATTCAAAGCGAACTTCAAGTGCTTCAGTTTTCCGATACCGTAATTGTCCATTGCGATCAACAATTCCCAAGTTGAATCTAACGAATTTGAGTCTCAATATGGATCAATATTGTAAAGGTGAAATAATAAAGTACTTCGCCTACTGTTCCATTCGACATGTAAATATTAATCTACAACGAAGTTCCAATCAATGCAGCAAACTACCTATGATCAACAACTCACGAACAACGGCTCTATTGCAAATTCGCGCGTGAGTCAATCTTGAAATATATACGCATACATCGCATGAAGAAATGTATCAAATGAATTCGCGGCGAACTCGGAGTCATCCAAGATACGCATAAGTGTAACAATCGCTCCTCTACAATGGACCCGAACGACTTGAGGAATATCTTCCTTACCTCCTGTCGTTGGACATCAGCGTATCTTCTGCAATGATGAGTGAACGCACGTGAAAGAATCTTCAATGAACCACTATGTCGTAGATCAACCTAAAAAGAGAATCTGTGGTTCGACTGTAACAAGATACAAAGTATGTCCAAATGCACACCTTTGCCATGCCGTGGAGAACTAAACCCACTAGAAAGGGCTCCGAGCCCCATCGAAGTTGAGGGTTCTGAAATAATGACATCTTCCCTGGTTCGAATCCCAGGTCCTCCATTATGTTGCAACCCGTTTGCAAAACGAGAAAAGAACTATGGCAATGAAACTTCGACGGGAACACGATGGGAAAAAATTATAAACAAAGTACATTCAAAGAAATTTTTACAACATCCACTTTGTGAAGATGAAATCGTCTCAAATATCATTTTTCCTCAAAAACAACTCAAAAACGGGAAATTCCCGAGAATTGTGTTTACACTGAGTTCCCTCCTTCATCTCCCTGCTACCGTAGCTCTCTCAATCTCCCTCCCCACAGCATTCCAGAAAGGTGCATGATAAATGCTAAACACTCCTGCTGCATTACAGGACAATGCAATGGTTAGGGACGTCCACGTCGGTATTCGGTCCGGAAGGCACAACTGAGGGGATTAATTTCGGGGCGCATGACGGATTCGATCGAAGGTTAGAACCCTTTAGTATTCAATGGATATAATTTACTTGGAAACCGCGAC